CGGGTTGCAGTACTCTAGTGTGAATTAATCGACGATCTACCGAAAAACTTGCTTCACTCTTGAAGCTGTAGCGAAAGACATAATTCTTCACATCGATTTCATACTATATTTGCTATCAAACACTTTATGTATGTATACTCGAAACTTTTCTGAATGTGTTTAGCATATAATGTGTAGATTCTTGAAAAAAAATGATTCGTGATCCTTGTTCGACTTGTGACTACATCTATGACACTTAGTAGGAAAGGTACTGCACGAAGCCATTTTTTTTGATATAGTTGAAAATATACCAGATTGTATTCCTGAATTGTTTATGAAAGTACCTATCAGCACTTTACTTTTATAATAGTAATGTTTAATAGAAAAAAATTATATTTAACAATTTAATCTGATTCATCGAGTTCTATTTCAAGTTCCTCTGAAATTCGTTCCATATTCCATTCCATACTTCGTAGTTTATAATGCAAGGAAGTCAAACATTTTTTGTAAATAGTTAATGCTTGCTAACAGTAATTAAGTGCCAACATATGTTTATGAAGACTTTCGTAAATCTGACCTATGGTCGATAAACTATTGCCAATATCCACATGATCTGGGTGAAAGCATTTTGAGACGCGTCAAGAAACAATTCTGTTCATACAAGAGAGAGTGATCATCTTGATTTCTGCTTCTTTGCACAGAGTTGGAAAAAATATTTTGATAGGGGGGTACCGCTATATTCTGAAATAGAGTTAATAATGAATTTCATACCAAATGAAAGCCCGTCAAAAATGGGGTTTATTGGTACTAAACAATAAGGGTTATGGAAACTTTCGTATATTGAAACTGTCGAAGTTTAAAGAATTTTGCATAATGCAATCATTATAATTCATTTTTAGCGGGTTGTAAGACAAAGAAAAAAGGAAATATTCTTTGGAAAAATTGAAAAGAGCATCCCTCTGGGGATCATAAGACCTATCTATGATTCAGAAGATGCAATTTTCCTTTTGCGTTCTGTCGTCTATTACTTGTGATGACGGTGAAGAAAAAGATTCTTTTATTTTCCTTGTCTTAGAAAGTTAGAGAACAGAAAAGTTGGAGAAGCTGATGAGATCACATATAAGGTCATTTTCTAATCAATATCTTTCATAAAAAATCTATCCTTTTGGTGCATCAATTAAATCTAATCATTCTAAAATGGCTGGTACTTGTGATACTGAAGAGCAGAGAATTATTGATGGAATCAAATGCATTGCTTTTCGTGAAGCTAGAGATGCTACTGCAACATTTACTAATCGCCATTGGGTTGCGAACAAAGTTCATCGTTCAGTTCAATTTGTCACAGATTAGTGGGAAAAACCATATGACCAATGTTTTGCTGATTATTCAAATGCCGGTCGAAAACTTAAATTATCACAAGCAAGTCAAGACATCATTCTTAAAGACAGTGGTTGACAAAGAAAAAGTTGTTCCGTTGTGGCGAAGGAGATTGCCGAAAAGCAAAAAGAATATGTCACTCGAAGAACAATTAATAATTACCGTCACAGAGAAGGATTAAAACCATTTCATGTTATTCGAAAACCGCTAAAATCTGAAACTCACATATCAGATCGATTATGGCTGTGCGATTGGTTAAAAGATTGGACTGAAGAAGATTTTCTTCATCTGGCACCATCTGATGAATTTTACGTGTGAGTCGTTCGTCGACCAAATTATCAGAACGATCGAATTTGGGCAAAAAGCGTCGATGATATCGAAGAAGACGAACGTTATCGTGAAATGATTAAAAGTCAACTATGCATTGGAATTTTTGTGATATTTACCGCTAAAAGGTTACATTGGGTGATTAAAGATAAAGATGAATCTTGGACTGGTCAATATTTTCGTGATATAATTTTGACTGAACACGTCTTTCCATTCTTAAAAAAATGAAGAAAATGTTATTCATCCCGATGAAGTTATATTTATCCATGACAAAGCACCATGTATGCGAGCATATCAGACCCAACATTTGCTTCAAGACAATGATGTTAAATTTTGGGGTAATGATATTTGGTCAGGAAATTCACCCGATCTCAATGTGACAGAACATAGTGGAACAATAATCAAGGATGAAGTTGAAAAAAAGATGTTATCAGAACCTGGACTTTCTCGTTATCTTGAAGAAACACTCAAAACGCACATTTTAGATGTTTTGAAAAACATGGAAACCGACAATGATTTATTTGAAACTCTCTTATGCTCGTATCCATCTCGACTACGTGCAGTAAAGAACGCTAATGGTCGTCACAGTGACTATTGATTGTTTTCATTATACAATGAAAAAATAAAGAATTTTGTATCACATTTAGTTCGAACCTTATCTCATCAATAACTTTTCTCACACTTGTGATCAATAGAATTTATTAAGTTTAAACATTTCAACATACGAAAGTTCCTATAACCTTTATTGTTTAGTACCAATAAACCCCATTTTTGACGGGCTTTCATTTAATATCAAATTCATTATTAACTCTATTTCAGAATATAGCGGTACCCCCTATCAAAATATTTTTTCCAACCCTGTACTTGTGACAACCACATAAGTACGCTAGTGATGCTGAGATCTTTTGAAGGTGAACTGTCTTCAACAATCAATAACCATCTTTTCAAATATTCAATAGAAGATTAAACTGGGACTTTCCATCGAGATTAGCAGCAATCCAAGAAAGGCAATTAGCAATTTCACGATGATTATTGGGATAGTGTTCTTCGAATATGATTAATGTTTGTTGATAAAAATCGAGAGGTCCATCATATTTTGTTTGCTGAAATAAAGTATTACCTATGTTCTTCTCATGTAAAAATTGATAAAAATTTAACGATGTTAACGAAAAAAGATGTTACATTTTTGACCGTGAAAACGCGTTAAAAATTTGTTTTTAAGAGAGGTTCCGCGAGACCCCCAACTATCGCGACCGGAGGTATGTTTGGTTTTTCGATTTTAACTATATGGTTGGAAAGAGCATTCATTTTGACCGGCAGATCCAAATTTTTTCGTTCTAAAAGTGATCCAAAAATATTTTAGTCCGAACTGACTTTTTTCACCCTCTGAATCATCATGTCATTTTGCTACCAAATTCAATGAGAGTCATAATTTGACATTTTCTCGAAAACAGTGAAAGCGACCGAATCTATTCAAGGTTTATGTGATGGTCCCTAATATGTTCTACAAAATACTATGCAATATGAAAAATATATATTGTTGCACTATAGAGTTATATGATACTGAAGGTTAAAATTCATGAAAAAATTAGGTGTAAAAATATTGAATTTTTTCTAGTTTTAGCTCTCTTGTAACTCCGGTTATCAAACCACCAAAAATTTTTTAATCTCACTTTATAGAGCTTTTCAAGCTGCATCCAACTATATGAAATAAAAGTTCTGAAAAACCATCAACACTTTGAAAAATTCCCATCAATGGAAGCCTCATCAAGGTTCTAATATATGAACACCCTAATAATGATAACAAAGAAAAGTTAATGAATCATTATGAAAGTGATATTTTTGTAGCTTGTTTGTGAGAATATAGCAGTTTATAGGTTGCTAATTTACTATCATGCCTTTAAGTTAAATATTTTATGATCTATCTAGACCGTAGTTATCTGCATCCTATATAAGAGTCAGTTCATATAAGGCATAGTCGACAACTACAGAAGTTGCTCATACAAGTTCGTCAGATCTCGCTCAGTTTTGCGCTGTATTATACAGGAAGGTGTCTCGAATATCTTTACGTAGTTATTTTACAAGAATATGCTCCAATAACTGATCAATTATTGGATTGATCAATAGTACCTAATACTGGAGAAAAATCATTTTCGACATTTTTTGCATATGCCTATCTCATGGAAGAATGATGTTGGAGAGATGAAATTTTAATTATCGAGAGATCTTATTGATTAGCTGCTCTAGTAAAAAAATTCAAGTCTATACGTGCCTCCTATGGACTGGGAGACCCTCGACAAAACGACGATTTCGATCAAAATCGTCATTTTGACGGGGTTCGATCTATCAGAAAACTGGTTCTGTGGAGGTAAGACTAGGATGGCTTCACAGTACTCAGTATGTACTACAAATATAGGCAATAGCTAACATAAGTTCTTGCAGAAGCGTCTGTGCGGACTCATTCAAATATACGGAAAAATGACCCATTTTCCATAGAGAATATGCCAATATGTGCCCTGACAACGACAGAAAAGACCAAGGGGGAAAAAGCGGATCTTGGTGGATCCTGGGATCCATTAAGATCCTCCAGGATCCACTAGGATCCATCAGGATCCATCAGGATCCATCAGGATCCATTAGGATCCATTAGGATCCATCAGGATCCATTAGGATCCATTAGGATCCACTAGAATCCATTAGAACTCATTATCATTTATGAAGATAGATTAATGTTCTGAATAACCACCAAAGCAAGGAAATCAACCAGATTCATAA